CTCTCTCTCTCTCTCTCTCTCTCTCTCTCTCTCTCTCTCTCTCTCTCTCTCTCTCTCTCTCCCCCCCCTCCCCGTTTGTGTATATGTTTGTTGTTGGTTTTGTGCCCTTGCTGAGCAGCAACTCTGGGCCATGCCTGTTGTTATCAGCAGGCAATTAATAGTTGCACTAAAACGGCGACAAACTGCTCAGTAAGGCTAAGAGGTTCCAGGGTGTTTTAACTGGATCCAGTTTGGTTTTCGTCATTAACTCTTGGATTCAGGTCCGTTCATTGTCTTCACCGGTGACGTCAAAGTTCAATTCCAGAGCGAAGGCACATTCCACCGGCTCTGCTGTTGGCAGGTGCACAAGAAGGTGCTGCATTCTTGAGGGCAGGATGTGGCTGAGACGGTACTTTCTTGATGACACATTGAACGACACCACTGCAATGGTCATGACAATAGGTGTCTGCCTCCTCTGGCTTCGCTTCGTTGACGGGCTTCTCGAAATGAGGCTGGTTGGCAACAGCGTTGCACGGAAAATCATTCATACAGGAACTGGACCTATCTTCATGTTGATGTGGAACTTCTACAGCTCTTCAAGGCAAGCACCATACTTCGCTGCGTTTGTGATTTTCCTGATTGTGATGAAGTACTTTCTTGTTGGGGTAGGTCTGGTCCATGACCCGAAGGTTGTGCTGGCTGTGACCCGGCGAGGAAATCCAAAGGAAATCCTCTTGGGCCCGATGTTCTATGGGCTTGTTGTGATTCTTGCCACTACCCTATATTGGCGTCATTCGCCGACAGGGATCTTGGTCATAGCAATCATGTGTGGAGGTGATGGTTTGGCAGACATAGTTGGCAGAAGATTTGGAACGCACAAGATCTTTTTCTCTCCGAACAAAAGCTGGTCCGGATCCTTAGCAATGTTGCTAGGGAGTTTTGTCTTTGGTTTTGGCATGGTCGCGTTCTTCAACTTTGCGGGCAACTTCTATCCTGCTCTCTCCCTTCAGAAGGCAGGTGTGGGGGTAGCAGTGTTGAGTGTTATCGCTACAATAGTTGAGGCTCTGCCAATCCCAGAGCTGGACAACCTCACAGTGGCATTCACTGTTTGGATCGTGTGCTGCCAGTACGGAGAGAAATGGGGCTGGGATGTCTTGAATACTGTGGTTATGGATCCTACGAAACTCAAGGTATAACTGACTATACGGACACCTGTCAAAAAATCATCCGCCTATTGAGAGTCCCATCCTATGTTGTGGGTAAGTAATGCGGGGTTGAATTCAGACATAGACATCGACTGGCCATTGCCTGGACAACACTTATGTGGCATCGAGTCTATTCATTCTCGTTTTCACTTTTTAGTTGACAGCCGACCAGTTTTTACTCCTGGGATCTGCTTGGTGAGCACCCAGTAAGGCGGATCCTTGCGTTTGAACTTGGACTGTATGAGTATAGAGTAAAGCACCCAGGGACAAGGTATGCTGAAAGTGCTATTCATCTTTCCGGAAAGGCACACAGCCTTTGGCTGTAGTACTACCAGTCTACCTCTAATAAGCTACTTTGTTTATTCCATGGCTACGATCCAGACGTCCGGACCGCCGTCCAGACGGTCCGGATTCGGTCCGGACTCTGGACGCCCGGTCCAGACGGTCCGGATCTGCCAAATTTTGAGGGAAAAAAAAAAAAAAAAAACGGTCCAGGACCCTTCCCCATTGAGGAGCCAAGCCCCCAAAATTGTTTTGGGGGTTTTTCAGGCCCGTTTATGCTTTTTTGGGGGGTCCGGACATGCTCTCTCTCTATAATAATTTATTAGACAACCCCAAGTTTTTTATTATGAATAATTCATTACCTTTTATTAGTTTTTTTTTAACTTTTTTAAGTCTTTTTTTAAGCTTTTTATAGTTTTTGACTTTTAACTCAAGTTTGGTTAGGAATTCTGACATGACTCTGAGGCAAAAGTGGTTTGCATTGTTATTCTGCATAACATACTTTTTTTTTTTCAGATTTTTAAAAATCTATTTTTATTTTTTTTAATGGTCCGGACATTTCCGGACCTGTCCAGACATCCGGACCGTCTGGACCCCCCATGTCCAGAGGTCCGGAAAATGTCCGGAATTCCAGACGTCCGGAAACTACCGGAAACGGGTCCGGTTCCATGTCCGGAAATGTCCGGGTCCGGGTCCGGCGTAGCCATGGTTTATTCCTGGTTTTCTCCGAGGCATGTTTGCGGTTCCCATTGTTGCAAGAGATTGAACAGAAGAACGTAAGAAAGAGAGCTGACTGTCCCTGCCGTCACATCTATAACCAACTGTACATTCGCTGCTTAGTCCCAGTCGAATGTCATACCATTCTCTTCCTCTCTCCTTCCTTCTCTCCCCTTCTTGTTCGACAATCCATCTGTAGTAATTTGTCTAAGGGCAACCCGCAGGCCCGACACCAGTCTGAGGCTGCATTGCGAAAAGGGGAAAAGAACCCCTGAAAGTGGCTTCAGGGGCCCTGCGCCCGACTGTTGACTAAAGTCAACTGTACAGCGGACCACGAGTCAAAGTCTGTATGGACCCAGCGCAGGCCGCCAGTCAGACTCACAGACATGTTTGTATGCAGGTATCCAGACAGCATACGGTCCAAGTGGAAGTCCGCAACTGTATGAGATCCAGGCCGTCGGCTGCGATTCATCCGTGGGTACGAGACCAGAGGCAGGTCAACTTCGTCAACACTACTTATTGACCCTGCCCCGGGAGTCAACATTCAGTCTGGCCGTGCTGACCTGACGCTGGCTTGACGCCGGCTCGATGCTGGCTTGACACTGGCTTGACGCTGACTGGACACTGGCACTGTGCGACAACGACCCGAGACTGCTGCACCGCGTGCTGACGCCTTCCTGCTCTGGCGCCAGCTGTGTTCTAGCTTGCTGATGTGGCGCATGCCACGGTGTCTTCGACATTGCTGATGTGGTGCATGCCACCCTGTCTACATTGCTGACGTGGCATTGCCACACTGTCTTCATTGCTGAGTTGGACTCGATAAGGAGGGAGATTAGAATCTGTGGATTGATTGAGTGAGAGAGAGGATACTTACCTGTTGCTGCTGTCGACTTTGCGCGCCGTTATAACGTCTTCCCGGGAGAACTGTGCCACTTAGCACTCTGATGTGATCAGGCCCTGTCAGGCTCGTTTCTTGGACACTTTGCTGATGTGGAGGCGAGGGGAGGCCCGGAGAAGGAGAGGGAAACGGGGGGGTGCTATCTATGTGGTCATTGATGGATACTTACTCTTCCACCCTCTAAGTCTATTCCCCCCCCCTTCTCTCCTTCGTCCATTGGTTATGAGACATTGTAACGTGGATCACATTTCATGATTATTGGAGACATTATTCGGTGCTGAGTTATCTTGTGCTTCAACACTTGGCGAATTTCCTCTAGACAGGAGTCAACATTCAGTCTGGCCGTGCTGACTTGACGCTGGCTTGACGCCGGCTCGACGCTGGTGTGACGCTGGCTGTACGCTGGCACTGTGCGACAATGACGCGAAACTGCTGCACTGTGTGCCGGCGCCTTCCTGCTCTGGCACCAGCTGTCTTCTAGCTTGCTGACGTGGTGCATGCCACGCTGTCTTCGACATTGCTGATGTGGTGCATGCCACCCTGTCTACATTGCTGACGTGGCATTGCCACACTGTCTTCATTGCTGAGTTGGACGCGACAAGGAGGGAGATTGGGATCTGTGGATTGATTGAGTGAGAGAGAGGATACTTACCTGTTGCTGCTGTTGACTTTGCACACGTCTTCTCGGGAGAACTGTGCCACGTGGCACTCTGATGTGATCAGGCCCTGTCAGGCTCGTTTCTTGGACACTGTTTTCTGACATGGAGACGAGGGGAGGCCCGGAGAAGGAGAGGGAAACGTGGGGCTGGTATCTATGTGGTCATTGATGGATACTTACTCTTCCACCCTCTAAGTCTATTCCCCCCCTTCTCTCCTTTGTCCATTGGTTACAAGACATTGTAACACGGATCACATTTCATGATTATTGGAGACATTATTTGGCGCTGAGTTATCTTGTACTTCGACGCTTGACGAGTTTCCTCTGGACTGGGTTCATTACACTTCTCCCGTCCCGTACTTATTATCTCAGCTCGCCCTCTCTTGCCATCTTACAACCGGATGGATGGAAATACCCCACTTATGTTTGAAGGCACAAAACTAGCCCAATCAAGTTGATATCATGGACGTCTGCAGGGCCAGTTTCAGATCATGAACTTGGACACCTGCAGTGCTGCACATTAAGGTGCATTCCGACTGCTGTCACTCCTGGATTTCCAGACCTGTGTGGGCTGTCTATGTACGTTTCCCTGCTTCAAAATCCTTATCACATGGCCATACCAACGAGAAGCCAAAATTGATCAAGCTTTACCCAATCAAACACCTGTACTAATAGTCGATCCTTCATTGCTACCTGGTGAACTGGGCTCTGACTCAAAGCCTATGGCTGAGTGCGGATTCTATTTCTTGCATGGGGAAAGGAGCTGCTTCATAGAGTGAGCAAGACTCAGAATGTCTGGGCTATACCCTTCCTTACCCTTGGGTATATCCGAGGATCAACAAACCGTCACAGTTGATCAGTCCTCGAGCGTCATCATAGTATCGCCCCAGCCGCCATCACAGCACCTCCATGAGCAGGTTCTTCTCCGTCTTCGTCTGAGTAAATTCCATCTTCACAACAAGGGCCGTGGGAGAACCTCTTCGTGGACGAACTGCTCCCCAACCACCTCTCCTCACTCCCAGATAATCTTTTTTTTTTTGTTTTTTTGTTTTTTTCATACAAAACTGGACCTTATGGCCCAGGCTCCTTTTCCATTCTGGGGAGCATCAGTCCGGTTCCTACTCCACCGGCAAGTCAAAAGGATAATACATCATAATTACAGACACACGCTTCCTTCACTACGGCCGGAGGAACCCTGACCAGCATTGACTGCTCCATCCATATGGAGGATTGACTGTCAGCTTGCCGTACTATACCCTTTCCTCTCAGGTCTGCCGCACTAACCTGCCGTATAGGGCCCGAATACCAAGAAAGGATCTAGCCGCTTCCACAACCCCCACCCCTCAACACGCCCTGAACCCCCCTATTTTCTGACTAGGTAGATGCAACATTTCCCTTTTTCCTAAAACCCCTTAATGTCTACCAATCAGCCTCCACCCTGTCTCCGTTGCTTCAGTCCGGCCCTAACCTCAGCCATCTTGACCAGTTACCATCTGCCTAAGATTACTGTCTTGAGCCATTACGACTGGCCAACCCTTCAACCATAAGCCCCTGAGCCGTTACCCGAAGACTAAGATCCTTAAACCCTAAACCCTCCCCTATTCCTCCTAACGGCACCCCTTCCCTATTGTACCTCTACTGGTAAAACCCTGATGACTGAGATCCCAGGGTGCTTTTTAAGTTCTCCCCTCAGACTGTAGAGCGTGTAAGGCCGTTTGACTTATCGATGATGATGGGAGCCATCTGTTCCGCCCTATCTCAGCATCTTAAACCCTTCCGATTGTGTGTCCAGTGTGGAACAGTCTTTGCCGTGCGGGGAACTGATCGAAGTCCCTTCCTCCCTGTCTCACCCTCTAGTTCCTTTGGCTTCCTCAATGACTCACTCACCTGGCGCCCGATACCTGATGTGCCCCTTCATCACTTCAGTTCCCCTGCCCATCCGCCGCTGGCACGAGCTGGGCTCTCCGATCTGTTTCCGAGTTGTGCCAGTCTTTCCAGCACACTCTGTCATTCCGTAACTCAGCGACCTTACCATTCGCCAGCCATTGCCTGGTGAACTTCTTCCTGACCTTTTCTTGCTGCTCCTCGTCCTCAGTCATCGACTGCTTTAACCTCTGCCATCTGCAGAGAATTTCAGCCTGTAGCATAGATCTTGCCTCCGCCCATACCTTATCTCTTGGGTTGGAGAGTCCTTCGATAGTTCTGCAGCACCTCTCCTTCCAGATGATCCATAACGTTACTTTCCTGATCAGGCCAAACCACAATCTTTCCATCTTTTGAAGCTGATCCGGGATGTTAGTCCAGAGGAGGATTTGGATAGGGTGTTCGGGGAAGGGGGGATGGAAAAGGGAATCTCAGAGGGCTGAGGCCCGTGCCCAGTAGTCCGTCGCCTCGTTACACTGGATTAGGCAGTGAACTATGTCCTCTTGAACCCCTTCTGCACAGACTGTGCATAGGTCTGAGCTAGTGGGGTCAGTTTTATGCCGTCTTATATGCAACCATTGATTCACTGGCAGTGCTGCATAGGTGAGCCACTGAAGGCTTCTGATTTTTGTAGGTATGATTGTTTTACATTTCTTCCAAGGGATCTGTGTAATTTTATTGGCTTCCTGGCCAATTAGTTTCTGCCATCTGCTTTTGATTATGGGATCTGGGTCCTTAGTTTTGATTAGAAGTTTGTAACCGAGTTTGACTGTGTATTCGTATATGGGGACA